GGGGAGGGCCACGTCCCGTGAGGGGGAAAAAGGAAAAGAAGAGACATGATATTTTTTTTTTTCTTGACATCCTCCATGTCAGAAGTTTTGGATCTCTAGTACCAAACACTGCAGGATTATAAAATAAATCATTTAAAGACTCAGATCATTCATTCCACTGTACTTCCCTAATAGATGATACAAGAAAGCAGAAGACAAACACTCAGATCTCAGAACCATTCTTGATAAAAAATGAAAGAACTGGAGTAAGCTGTAGGAACATACATGCAACAAACATAAGCAAAATATGCTTTGATTTTCAGAGGTGCTGAATTATCTTTGTAACACAAGAACTGTATAGCTACTGTGCTGTGCAAGTATGAATACTATTTTAGAGACAAATACTGTCAGATGCCTAACCCAAATAGCTTATAGTTCAATGTATTTACATAAAGGCTTGACAAGAGTTGCAAAGAAATATTCCAGTATTTCTAGAAAGCATCTATGCACTGAAAGCAAAAGATATCAAAATGTCTTCTTTTGCTCATAAAAATAATCAATCTATATTTAGAGTCCTGGAACTCACTTTCCGTGTTTTTTGTAAGGGCTGAAAGCTGTGTTCATTGGCAATAACAACAAAATTACATTTTCAAAGGATTCAATTCCTGATCACCACTTCTATATCTGACAGCCCTTATAAGACTTCACATGGAGAAACAGGCTTCCCTTGCCTAGTGTTAAGCAGATTGCTTAAGTTAAGAGACTTTGAAAGACTCGAGAGAAACAGTGAGTGTAGTCCAAAAAAAGTGATGAACAGAGATGGAGTATCCATAAAGAAAAGGTCTGTAAGATTGGAAGGTAGGAGATTTAAGAGATTTAAACATTTCTAAGGATTACTGAATAATGGGAAGCTATGTAACCTGCAGTGACAGACAATTCAAAAGCTAAAGCCAAGGAGAGTATTTTCGATGGACTTTTAAACCTGCTGTTTACAAGAAACAAGAATAAACTGCCAATGAAGCAGTGAGATCAGCCAGCTTTGAGCAACTTAGGGCTGCATTATGTTTTCACTTGGGGCTTGACCAGGGGTCAACTCCCAGTGAAATCATTCAAGGTCGGTTTTAAGCATCAAAATGCAGATATTCGCTAACATAGGTAAGCCTATCTACCTGTATATCCTAGCATTTCTTTTCAGGTTTGCCACTGATTTGTGGGAAGAGAAAACAAGAGGCTAAACAGCCCTCAAGCACTCTTATAAACAATATATAGCTTACAAAAGAAAATAATGACATGGGTGTAAAATACAAAACCAACTTCAACAATATATATTCTTGTCCCAAAATGGGAAAATGAAATGCAACACTAAGATTTATTCATATTTGCTTTGTAACAAAAACTCAGTAAGAGTTCATAGATAATGATATTCCTTCAAGACTTCCACAGCCTTTAGAGATCTAAATGCACAGAAGTCAGGAAACTGGATCCTGATGAGAGTCAGTAACTTTATGACTCAAACAAGTCCAACGACCACAAGGTCGCTTGCAAGAGCAATGCAGCGAGCTCTTGCTGTCAGCAGTAATCAAAAAGGTGGGCTGTATTTGTACCCACAGATCAGCATACATCTTTTGAGGCCACAATGAGGATGATTTCACTGCCTAACCCACCAAGATGCCCAGCCATTTTATTTGGATGTGTACTGAATACCAATCTTTCACCCAGATATATTCTTTGAAAGATAGTGACTTTGTCATCTTAAAAAATCACAGAAAATTACAACAAATTCCAAAATATATTCAAAAAATGGTCAAAAATATTATTTGGCATCTTATTCCAAGTTTAATCGATGTTATTTTTTCTCTTCCTAGACACCTATCCCATATGGGTTCTATGTTTAATTTATTATCATTTCTTGTCCTGCTGGCATCCTCAGCTTTGCTGATTAATTTCTGTTATAGTCTCGCTATTTCAGTTCTATAAATACCCCATTTCATTTTACTCCTTTCTATAGTTACTCTGCAACCTTCTTTTCCTCCTCCACCTGGGGTTCTCACTTTCAATTTAACATGAGACAGTGGGCAAAGATTGAGCTGAAATCCAGTAATTATTACCTCCCTGCCCAAAAAATGGAATCATTTATTTTTCTTATGGATGGAAGCATCTGTGAGCTGCTCTGAAATCCCAGAAGCAATCCCACAAAAAACAATACTTATTACTTGTCAGATTAATAATAGAAAGTGTTGGCTTCCATAATTTGAAAAATGTATATAGCTGGACTACAATTTATTGCAACACTTGCATTTAGGAAGAATAAAGGGTTGACTCATAACCCAGATGCCAGCATGCTGGGTGTATCTGGTTCCACCTGCAAGAATATTAAACCACCATGCAATTCATCACTGACAAAAGAAGTTATATCCACAATCGCTGGCATTCAGTATGTGACTGCCTGCAGAAGACTCTCCCAGTTCTTTGTGTCCTTGAGTTATGTTTACTACTTTCAGACCTTACATTTTCTGACCTTTCAGCCTTTGCCATAAGTTCGCGGGATTCTCTGAAGGTTTGGGAAAGCTTCTGAGTGCTTCTCCTATACGTGTAAGCACATCCTGAAATAAAAAGGAAACATGGAAATTACTCGGTTTTGTATTCCTGCCATTTCTCATGTCCTGTATCACAGGTCTACCATTGACAGCTACATCCAGTCCCTCAAAAGCAACTAGGTAGGCAGCAGGCATCAGCAAATTTTGCTGAATTTTTAAAGCATCCTATTAAAAAACTTTGTTGAACAGTGTCACCAATAGTCTGCCCCATAAAGCAGCTAGCTTTCTTAAGGAGGTGAAGGAAAAAGCAGCTGGCCTTTTCAGGGAAGCTGGGAGAAAAACAAGAAGAAAAAAGTGAAGCCTCACTTGAGGCTGAAGTTCACAAATCTTGGATATTGAGTGAATGAGAGTCAAAAATCTGGAGACTGGCATTATCAGGTAAAAAGAAGAGCATGTGGTACAAAGCAGAAATTCTCACCCTGCTCACAAAGATAGATCTTGGGGCTTCAAGAAGCATTACTTATTCATCGCTCAGAAACAATCAGCTTTCAATCTGACTCTCTTTCAAAAAGTGAGAGAAGAGTTCTTCCTTCAGGAGGCAGATCATCCAGAGGAACAGCCACAGAAGACCCAAGGAATTCTGCAAGTTTCAGCTTACACTGCCTACCATCTGTTCCAGGGGTATTTCTTAACAATAAAGCTTGAATCTTTGTGATAACAGACACAGACAGAAGACAGTTCTTCCAAGAAATCTCAATGTATCTAAAAAGCCTTATACTCCATAATATGTCACAGTGTCCTACTCCAAGACTCCTACACCAATTGAGGAGTAAGGAAGACCAGTATGGGCATAGTTACTTGCTATCACATCATTTTGTTATTTACCATTTTGTCTTGGACAGCCCATCAGAAAACAAACTGTGCAGAAATCCTGGGAAAGACCTTCAGCTTATATAAATCAGGCAAGCTCAAACGACTTCATGGGTATGTTAGTCCCAAGCATTTTATTAATGATATGGAGCCAAATTCTATTCTGACTTTCATTCAGGTCAATCTGATCTCATTGTCATAAATCAGGGGGAAATCTGGTTGACAGATTCTTTAGTTACAGTATGTATAAAATGTACCACAACTTTTTTTTTAACAACATTTGCTTACTCTGGAGTAAATCTGTTCTTCCAGTTTTGCTTGGATTAAAGCACTTTCCATTAGAATCTTCTTTTGTCTGAGAAAGGTTATCTTGGCTAGCTCTGCTTTCTTATCCTGACAGTCAGGGCATACTGAAGATTCATGGATTTGAGCTTCTTTCACCTGGAAGATGAGACTGTAATGAGCAATGTCTGTCCTATCAAGATGGCCACTCCATCAAGAACAATCAATAAAAATACAGCTATAGATACTGTCTAAAGACAAAAATTTGCTTTTGTAGGCAGTTGTAAATTCTTTTATAATCTTTGTCACAATATCACCTTGATGAGCCTGTCTGAATGCTTTCAGACTAAATATATTTGCTCTTCCCCAGGTATTATCCCTTCCAGCACTGATAAATCAGGGTTTTTTAAAATTATCTACTTGTATCTCAGAGCTATAGCACAGTTCTGTAATATACTATTTTTTCTTGTAACAGGCTAAGTTTCCCTGATGTTTGAGGTTGCATGGACATTACTGACTTCTTCCACAGAAGCGATAACAGTAAAAAAAAATATGAAGTCATGTGATTGCCAAGCAACACATCAGTGATCAGCCAAAACCAACTGCGAGGATGCAGTTATAACGGGAAAAAAAAAATGTTTTAATTAGTATAACTCATTTGACCCTGGGTGGATGCTCAGTGCAATTTTGCCAATGTAAATCTGAATGTATTTTGCTAGTGTTAAATATGTTCAGAGCATCACCAGCCATTAGTTACTCTTGCTTAATGAGTACCTGATGTTTCAGGAAGCCAGCCTGTGCATGCTAACCAGCCTTCCACAATAGCAAATACACTAATTCTTGAAGGCTCAATTAAGCTAAATGTTTTACTCCACATCTCAAATACTTGATCATCACAACTCAGTAACAGAAATTCATTAATCAGCAATAATTCCAAAATGCTTGTCTGTAATGAAGCTATAGGAACAGTAGTGTTCCTATGCTAACAGTATATGTAAGGCCTTAAATCTCAATGATAGATGTTATGATTATCTTACAAATTTTAAGGTGTAAATAAACTCTAAAGCAATTAGCTCAAATATCTATACGTAGCTCTGAGTCAGGATACAAGCAAAATTCTAGTTTTCTTTGTAATATAAACAGCACTACTCGTTAATTCCTATGTTAGTTTATCCACCATGAAATCTTAAGTGTATTTAATAGCATTATACAAATCCTACTATTTGTACATTTATGAAATATCAATAATTTTATCTGATTTGATTTACACAGATTCCATCTGGTTACATAAATGCAGTAAGTTGCTACAAAAGCAGTGGAATCAATCCTAGGCAGTTATGTCTCAAGCCCACCTGTCTTCTTTCTTGATTTCTTTGTCTCTGCATAAAAATGGTACTACACGGAGGTAAAGACAGAAGCAAATAGACACAGCGAAGTTACTGTTCTTAGAAAATGTATTTGTCTTACAACGTGGTAATAGAGAGGCAGTAAAAATTCTACAAAATTTGCATGGTGGGTTGGTTAAGATTAATACAATGAAAGAATGCAGACTGCTGAAATATCAAAACAATTTAAACAGGAAGCCTCAAATAATCATCATGCCAGAACTGACTGTAAAAGCATTACTCCCTGCTCACCTGGCACAGGGTCTGCAGAGGAATATGTTATCACTTTTAGTATAATATATGGCAATAAATTAAAGCCAGCAAATGTGATAGAGATAAAACAAAATCTATGACTGGAATTACTATTTAAAGCTCATTTTTTGTTTTATCAGAAATACCTTCCCAGGCACTGATACTCTGTACCAATTTCAAACAAATTATAGACATTTGCCAAGGCCCGGATTTATGGGTAAAAGCATCTATAGGTAATGGTCACTACTCAAATCTACATAACCACATATTCAAATCCATCTGCAAGCACAAAGCCAGAATTCAAGTATCATTGCCTCAAAAATATACCAGTCTTGAGACTCTGAGATGCAGAGCCAAAAGGAGGAGCTGTGTCAGAACACCTGTTCTGTGGTGGGAAGAAAAGAGGAGCACTTCCAATTGTGCAAAGATGATACAGTTGCTTCTTAATAAAGGGACTGATGTCACCAAGATTCTATTGGACATGCTTTAATTCTTAATATTACCTAATCTCTAAGAAAGCTGGGAGCAGGAGGAAAGTTTTGTCTTTGGAATACTTTTAATACTGGACTCACAAAGACTCCACAATCAAATAATACACAGAATACTTCTATAAATAACAGGTGCAAACACAACCAGAAAACAAGCCTTTTTTCTTCAGTTGATCTAGGGCTTACTGTGAACTCCAATAACTGAGTATCCAAGGCTCACTCAATTACACAAATCATTATTTCATCACCAGACATTATTTTACAATGATTTGATTATTTACTAGCAACAGTTCTGCAGTAGTGTCTCACAAAAAACATGACAAGTAAAATCTTGAGATATCAAGCAAAAATCTCTTTGAGAGGCCTGAGCATGGCATCAATAAGGTCTGGCTGATTTGATCCTTATATTACAGCTTTTTTTTCCCCAGTGGTTCTCCCAAAAGCACAGGCAAAAGTCTAATTTTTGTTTTCTTCCTTGCAGTACCTGTTTAACAGTCTCTCTGATGTTTTTCAGGTGGATTGTGTTCACTAGCCGATCAGGAACAATGCAGTTCAAGTCACTTGTCTCTGCTTTCTTTGCTGTGAATCCATGCTGCAGTTTTCTTGACTTGCAACCATTTGCCTGCTTAGAGATCAGCTGCTGACGCATCTTGTTTATCTTAATGGTGCAAAAAGACCAGAGAGCATCCAGTTCTCCATCTAATAATTCAGTAATTTCTGTGAGGCATAAATCAACAAAACAAAAGTGTCAGTTACCGTATCAGGGAAAGAGAAGAATTACTGGTCTTGTATTTGTGTGATTTTGTATTATCTATTTAAGAAAAAAACAAACCCAATGTCAAGCCTAGAGGCAATGACTGTAATAAGAGCGGTGCAGAATTTAAATAAAAATTTGGATGATAACTGAAGGAACTTGCACAATAAATGTCTCCATGAATAGTCTTCAAAGAGGGGAGGGATAAGAACCCTAGAGAATTAGACTATTTAATGATACAGCACAAATAAATTAGTAAAGCAAGTACTTAAATACTATGACATTAAATAAACTGAGTTTCAATAACTGACTAATACAGATTTAGCTTTTTCCTATCTGAAACTGAAATTTGCTAAACCAAAATGAATTAACATTTAAAGAGAGCTACTCATCTAGAAACTAAGGAGTAATTCATAAGACACTGAAAAATTAGAGGCAGTGTCTTATTTCTAACTCTGGTAAACACCTTTTTTTTTTTTTTTTTTTTTTTTTTTAGGAAATGCAATTATATTAGAAAATACCTTCCTCTGAAGTTTCAATGACCATTTCCTAAATTCTTTATATGATGTTTAAACAGTATCTTTCACTCTTTTATCTGTTCTTATCCTTCCTAGTGGCATATAATAATAAATAAAAACTGAGAGATTATACTTCAAATGGGCAAGTAAGGATGGATTTACAACTTCATTCAATTGCTTTGTGGGACATTTTCCACAGGCTTAAACATAGCAAATCAATACAGTATTTCAAGAGCATCAGCACGTAATGATGCTGTGTAGTGCTATGTGTCCTTAAGAGCTACCACTGTTTTCAACTATTTAAACAGGAAGAGTACCTCTACCTTTATTACACAGATTTTGCTTTTATGCAACTACTGAAGCCCAACTAAACACTAATGTTTAAACAACTAAACTGTGTGCAATTAAAGGTGAAATGAGGAGAAATATTACAATAAGCGTTACTAGAAGTCTTTTGAACACCTTTGCACATAGCTAGTGCTAACACACAAAGTCAAGACAACTGATAATGACTACAGACATAAGGTAGGGTCAGGTTTTTTTAACTCACAGTATTCAGAAACATACTGCCCATTTAGCTGGAAAGTATGATTATATCATTTAAATAATCATCTATATTGCCTGTTTCACTAATTTTCAGTGATTAAATTCAGTTTTACTTTTCCTAGACAGGCACTGCGTATTCCACTACATACCTCAGGGTGCTTGTCTGACAGCTAGTGCATTGGCATTCCAGTCCTGTGGGCTACCTTGGCATAACCACAAATTCTTAAACCACTGAACAATATGAATGTAAAACTTCACCTAAATATGCTGCAATTAATTTAATCTCAAATACACAAGACAGAGCTGTGGAATTTTGCAAGGAAACTCAGTATCTCTTCAGAAATGCAATCTGTATAAAGGATAAGTAGGTATATAGTTAAGGCCAAGCAAAGCAGTAATCAGTGAGCTTTGCTTTAGACAGCAAGGAAGAGATGCAATTTAAGTGAAACTACCACAGTTCAGAATCAAGCATCGTAAAGCAATTTGTTCCTCCTTAGAAGATGAGGTATCAAACTGACTTAGGACAAAGACATAGTGATAGTTTACAGAGAGATGAATAAGAATTAACAAAACTTTAAAATACAATTTAACAAAAAGCTTTTCTTGCGTGGGATCATAAACATCTGAGTGGAAACTACCATTTCAGTCATCGGGTTATTTTCCTTACAATTGCAATGTAGAATTCCTGTAAAACAGTGTAAATCATGTGCCACACTGGGTTTGATTGGACTAATATAATAGTGGCATATTCATTACATTGCCCATAGAATGAATAAAAAGATTTAGAAGTTATTACTGTGGGGGAAAAAAAAAAAACCACAACCTAGACAAAGCATTTACATATACTGAGTACTCAAATGCATAAGTTAAACGTATGGTGTCTGCTCAATATTTTGTTACAATTTAATACCAGCCTAATTAAGTCACTTAAGTTTCTCCTGACATACAGAAACGCTTTTTAATTAAGAATTGGTTTCAAATAGTGCATGAATCGTGTGCTGCCCTACACCCACTCATTTGCTCATTTGCACCTACAGACATTAGAAGAAACACTAGCAAAGAGAACAGCAATTTTTAAATTTGAGTGCACAACCAATTTCATAAATTTACTTGTTTGATATTAATCCACATTCAACAGTAAATAAGCTCATAAAGCATAAAAATTATCAAAGATCGAGGACTATAATTTTACTGAAACAAGAACAAAAAAATTATGAGAAACGTCAGCACACGGGTAAATTCTGAAAAGATAGTCTTTTAACTGCACAATGACACTTTGAGATTTTCTTCTAGGTATACGAGGTTAACCTGTCCCTCAGCTCAAAGAAAAGAGATGCATACAAGAGGATCTATGCATCTGCTTTGGTGGATGGTTTTATTCCTTGTGTCTTTCACGTATTCCCTCCATTCCATCTTTGAACTAGACATGCTCGAACGCTCAATCTCCATTTGTGGTGGCAGACTTAAATGTCACTGCACGTCTGTCTACAGAGAATCCCTGCCAGTGCCAATTACAGTTCCAGAAGTACATTTTGCTGATGCTTGGTTGCCCCGAATCCTGTATTCCCACATCTTCTTTGTTGGAGAGGAATAAAGCAGGAACAGGTGACAAGAGCAACAAAGCCAGACACTAGAACAGACATCAAGTCAGAGTCATGTATCACCCAGCAGTAAGGTCATGAAGCACAGAATATTTAGAAAGTAAAGCACAACAAACTGGAGCATGAAGCTGCTCTCATTACAGGAGGCACTCAGCATGTACCAACGGAGATAAAACTAATCTCTATGTCTACATTCTAAACCCTGCTATGTGGCTTATAACTAAGTGACCTGCAAAGATTTTGCTTTCTGTGTGCAACTACATCTTTAAGAATGACATTTTAAATCCATAGGAGTGGAGGGAGAGAAATAAAGAAAATCCTCATTGAGTTTCCTTTTCCTTTGATGTCTAACTTTGATTTAACAGGAAAATAGGAAGGCATTTTGTAGTTGTCATGCTCTACTAATACTCTATTTTAAGAAGAAAAATATGTAAAACATTTAAAGGGGAGATAACTGTGAAAGGCAGTAACTGATAACTACTCTTCAGAAAGATTTTAACTCCACATCTCAAGATAACATTTTCATAATTATCTAAATTGCATTTGTACAATTGAGTGCAGCAGCTCAGATTATCATGCTGACAGCCAATCAGCAAACATAGTTTGAAAGATTTGTCAAATAACACAGAACTGATATAAACAGTCTGAATTCTCTTGCAGAATCCATGTTTTTCAGAAGGAATTCATTCCTTCCCAGTTCCATAAAGGTATTAATGAACTCAATGAACTTTCTTTACAAGCAGGTGTTTCCATTTAGATGTTTCTGGTTGGAATTTCCCCACCTAGCCTACATTCATACTATTTTACTACAGAATCAGAAGGAAAGTCTGGAATCTCAGGGCCTAACTAGGTCTGCAGGAATCCCACACCCTGCACATGCTATGAAGCAGTAAGCTTTGGTGCTGAAAAGCTCAGGAATAAGAAAGCGACAGTATAGACTGGATACCTGCTCCCTTCTCAAAACACAGCAGTAGGATGTTTTCTAAATTGTCATAAATAAAAGACTACTAATGTGTTTAATAAATACTATTTGGTAAGTGAATAATTAAATGCTTTGTTCATAAAGTGAATAATAAACTAGATCTACTCAGAAATACTCTGGGCAAGCTGAAAGAAATCTGATGCAGAAACACATACTTCCCTCAGTGCACAAGTCTACATGCACATGCCAGTGCCTTTCACCTTAGCAACATGAACCTCAAGTATTTATTTGCCTGTATCTACACTGGCCTTTTTTACTTTTAGATTTCCCCTTGTTGACACCACTGTCATAATATCAATAATGGTTAAATTGGTAATATTGACTGGACTGTATTTCAGCCACAAAACTGATGCTGCTCAAACATCACTATGCTCCTAAATAACATACATAAACAACTAAAGCTCTCTCACTTTTGCCAGCAATAGTGTAGTGGTAACACTGCAGAAAATTAGAGGAGCAAAATGTTTAATGTAGACACATTACAAACAAAGGTGAGAACAAATTTCTGAATACAGTACAAGTCAGAGCATTAAAAAATCCCACTTGAACTTTCAGATACATCTAAGTTGAAGAACTGCAGTTTCCTGTAGTAAATTTTAAAGATGGTCTTTGGAATAATCTATATAGAATTGGGAATTTACAGTCATTTTGTGATGCATTTGTCTAATAACAGCTAATTGCTACAACACTGGGGTAAGTGGCCAGAGAAAAGGAAGACAGAAAGATAGTTATGACAAAAATTTCTCACTTCTCTTGTGGCCAGTATCTAGGTTTTTCTTCTTTCAGTCCACAAAAATGACTACTTCGGACATTCCCATATGCAAAACACGATTTTTTTTCCCCCACATTTAACCCGATCAGTAGTAACATAATAAAAAGAATTATTTTTTTATTACCCAAAGACAAACTCAAAAGTACCACGGATGCTCAGTGCATATATCATTCATTTTGCTGAATTTCCATAAGGGAATAACTGTGTAGCAATCTAGTTCTAGGTGAGCTCAGCTTCTATTGTATTTTAAAAAATAAATCTCCAAGTTCATAAAATAGTAAGAGGCTTGGGGGCTACTGAGTACTGAATTATTAAGTCAAAGAGAAGCAGGCATTTATAGATGTCAGTATACAAGGTTGCTGTGCTTTTTTATTTTTTGCATGTTAATATTGCAATTAAAAATGTAGTACATAGCTAATTGATGCTGATGAATTTGGGGATAACTTGTCAATCACATGACAGCATACTGTGTTTGCATGGAAGAAGCATAAGCATGAACCTTATGTTGTGGTCTACATATTGACAGTGGTTGGAAGCACTGCAACGATGTACCTGTAAAGTGCTTAGCTGCTGACAAGTGACTGGACAGGCAGACAGAAGACAATGCTTCACTTCATACATCAGCACAAGCTAATGAAACAGAACTTGCTACTCAAGACTGAGTGACCACTCTGACTCTCCTTGTCCATCAAAGTCCAGAAACCAAAGTCCCTTGCGCAGAACTACAAAAAGCTGAAATGGATTAAGAGGATAAAATCTTCCCAAGTGTAACTTTCAAGGGAAAGCTCTCCAGAGATGGGAAACTTCATCAATGTTATACTGTTGTTTATCATTCATTCAGTGAATCTGAACTCATCAGGTCCTTTTCAATTTCTCTGTGAATCAAATGGTCACAAGATTCTGATGTATTTTAGGAAGACTATCTCAGGGCAGCTCACCAGAAGCCTCTCTACTACAGATGAGATGATCTACATTAACTGTCTTCTCACTTGACTACATGGCAGTCTTAGAAAACCAGTTATAGAAAGATAAATGCTGAGATGAGTCAGGAATTTATAACACTGACTCACCACTTGTGAATGAGCTATGAAATTAGGAATAGCCTAAAAATTATCTTAGGTCATGTTTCCCTATGATATATGGGTGGTTTGAGGACGCTTTTATGCAAAGGCAATGCCACAAAGCATCTAGGCAAGATCTCCCTGGTCAGTCAGTCTTACAGGTGACCTACAGAACTTCTGAATTTGTCCACTTTTCATATACATATAGATTGAAGATTCCCCTTCTGCTTCAATTATTTTTTGCTCAACTACAGCTTTCTTGCTCTTTTTTAAATTAAAAATAGTATCTCTGACCCACTTTTTAGAAAGACTTAAGCAGGACTTGCACCCCACCATCTGCTCTCACAGTTGCTTGCGTAACCAGTACATGCAAACAGCATCCTTCCTTCCTCCCTTCCCCTCTCCTCCTCCATACACTATATCATTGTGTTGGTTGCTCCATTGTTCTTGCCAAAATTGGTGCCCTGCTGCCTCCCTCAGCTTGGGAAAGGAACTAAAACATGGCAAACAAGTAATTCAGTAATTAACACAGCTGATCAACAGGGGGAAAAACATTTCACACAACAAATTCTGAAGTCATGTTTATTTTGGAGGGGAAAAAAAACCCACTCCTAGGACCTGTGCAGCTGCAGAGAAATAGGGAAAAACTAAAGAGTCCAGTAAAATTTTTAGGATTGCAGATAAATTTAAAATGTAGATATTTTTTTTAAATGTATTTATCTAGATCTTGTGGTAATGTATTGCTAGGATAACATCACTATGTCAGGAGCATCAAAGCCATGTGTGTTATGGAAGACAAACTACTTTCCAAGAAAGCATAAAAGAGAAACTTCATACTTAATGACCTGGCTAACTAAGCCAGGCTAATTACCTGGCTTAACTTTAATAGCTTGTATATAAAATTTAAGTTTAGTTAAAAGTTTACAACCCCTTTAAAAAGAAACAAGAATTATAACCTCTATTAAAATTACTGAACTCACCATCATGAGTTTTGATGACAAATTTGTCTTGCTTAATGGCAGCTGCTTTATTTTTTAGATCAATCCATTTTCCTACGGCATCTCTTCCTATAGCCACAGAATCCGCTACTTCAGACTGCTCATCTACAATGAAAAAAGGTAGGTTTGAACATACACTGTAAAGAAAGCAGGACTGCAGAAAAACCAAGTGGAAAGTAAATAATCCTCCAGCTGAATGTGAGTTTTGCCTGTTGAGGAAAAAGAAACCCCAAGCCACAGGATTACACAGATGATATGAGCTATTTCAGAAGGAAATGCTGAGCAAGCTTCCTCACAAAGTGTCATACTGCTCATTGCTAATCACCCCACTCAATGACAATATAGGATACACTGAGAAAAACTGAGACTACTGCTTAGAGCTTGTTGACACATTCAATTTTATCTGTAATGCTCACTTAATGTCAATTACTTTCTCCCTCATTCAGCCCCATCACTTAATTTCAGCCCTGCATAGCCTCTTCATTTGTGGCAGTACAAATACTCTTGGGACCTCAGGTGAACTGTCTCAGGGTATTGATCCAAGTGAAAAACAACGTGGAACAGGGGAAATTAAAAAAAAAAAATCTATATCAACTCTCTATTCTCCAGCTTGTTCCAATACAACTTCAGTTCTGCAGAAACTGAGGAAACAGCAAAGATGTGAAAGAGAATAGCTGGGAAAAAGACAAAAGACTTGAGAGTTCTTAAATGTCGCTGCCACTGACAGCAAGATGCATACAGCATGGTCCCAGTTCAAAATACTGAGCATACTCAAGAAGCACCTGACTTCTCGAATTTTTAGGGTACTAATAGCAAATTCAGTGTGCTTATACAAGGAAATAATATGTCCCTATGGGGACACCTGCATGACAGGTTTTCTATAGTTTTTATTATTTATATATACTGTTCTTGGTAAGATATATACTGGTGGAAAGTGATCCATTTCTCAAAATATTTTCCTAAGAATTATTCCCTAGTTTCTCATTTAACTGGTAGCATTCAGAAGACTCCATAATTTTATAAAACATTAACCTTGTAAAGATAAAAAATGGTAACACATTAAAAAAAACTCTACACACACAGCAAGGATACCTCCTACCTTGTACTCTTTGATGACAGAAATAAGGATTCCAATGGTTACACATGGAATAATTTTTTTTAAAACATACCTCCAGAAAAAAAAAAAAAAAAAGGTCTAGTAAAACCTATCACTTGTGGGGGAAAAAAAAAAAAAGCAAAACTGTCAAATCTATTAGACGCTGTTTAAGTATATCAATGTAGCATGAATTGACACCAAGGCAACGGTCATCTCTTTATTCAGATATTTGACGCACTGATATGTAATGCTATATTCTATGCTATGATAAACAGGGTTTACATTCACGTACATTTACAAATCTGACAGCAAATTTTATCCTGCACTATTGGGATTTCATGCCTAAACAGTATTTTAAAAGGATTCCTAATGATAACGATGCTGGTTATTACTGCAGAGTGAAAAAAAAAAACCCATCACACAGTTAAGTATTGGATGGATGAGGGACAGGAGGAACATCTCTACTAGACCTGTAACGGGAAAAGAAACATTTTGTCAATTTTAAAGTATAGACAAGGTTAATTATACAATACATGCCAGCTGATCAAGTTGAACTGAGTAGAATCAGTTTAAAAGAGTAACAGCTAAATAGATGGTAAAATGTATCTTAAAAATGTATTTTAAAAATGTATTAAAAGTGTGGTAGCTAATCTTGAAAGCTAATATATTTATATATGCTGACAAGCTCCAAAACGGAAAAGAGATTTTTAAAAGTATTAATCTCTTCAAGTACTCACAGTACTTACCAGACCAAACTTGAAGAAAAGGAAAATGTAGAAAAATGACAAAGAACCCCACAGAGACAGAAGAAAACCTGACAAAACATTAAGGCAGTTGGTCCTGCTGCTCTATCACTCATCTGATGCAGCTTTAAGGTACTAGCTAGCCCTCTGAAGTATTTCAAGTTCTGAAACTTTCCCTGTGCCCTCAGAAAAATTATTTCATGGCCCCACTACTTTTCATACATGGTAACTCAGTCAAGATAACCTTACAGATTTTTTTTTAATGTGCCAACAGAATTTCAACATCCCATGGTTACTAAGGAAGGGTTTTCATGGCCAAATCACACCCTTCTGCATGTAGCTGTCAGCAAATCCTCAGAGTGCAAAACACAGATCTAGTCAGCATACCAATGTTCTGTTGCTTTGCACAGAAAGAACACTGTACACAATTTCTACATTTTTATTTTTGCTGATTCAAGTCTCCACTGCACTGATTCAAAGCTGTGAAAGATGGGTCTCGAGCATGGTAAACTCTACATACCTACATGATTTTGGCCTGCCAACCATAGCATGTTTTCCAACTTATCTGGCACAGCATACCCCTCGCAACCCTCTGTGGAACAATACAATTCAGGTCATTCACTCTCTTACTGCCAGAAAGCTTCTTCCACCTCACTGAAGGGCTCAAAGATATTTTTTACAAAGTCCAAACCAGAGCTACCATAACTCTGGCTCAATTCCATCCACTACTTTTCATAGTTACCAGAGCTATCTGCTGCGACAGTCGTCATGGTGAAGCACTGCAAATAAAAACAAAAGCATATAACAGATTTAATTATACAGGAAGAATGACTGGATTACTTATAGCAATGGGGGACATATGGAGGACTATTACAGCTCAACTCAGACCCAATTTAGCTACCACAACAGGTGGATGAAACAACTACTTAATCAGCACATTGGATCAAGACAACACCCTTCAAAGCACTAGTGCTGATCAAAGGAGCTCACATTAAGATCTGCTGGTAAGTGCTCAGTAACAATTATCACTGAACATTTGCAATGAATTCTGCACAGCCTTCCTTTCAAAGTTATAGTGAATTACAGAACACTTGGATAAAATCATCCATGAAAACAAAAAAATAATTAAAAAATGGTATTTTTTGCCTTCAGATTAAGACTCTTCACCACTCAGAATGCAAGACTTCATTGTTCTACTTAGATTTTGTCTAGAAAATAAAAAACAAAACAAGCATCAGCCAGCTGATGCTCTCAAATGAGGAGTCATGCTCCTAATGTGAAAACAAGAAAAAATGCTTTCCAGATCCAAACTCTAGGAACAAAACAAACCTCAGATAGTTACCCGTTATGTAACAGATTTATTTTAAAGCTTGGTTCTTACTTCTTTTACCCATTTTTATTAGAATGATGCAATACCCCTTCTTCCTTTGAATTTAACGACCTAAATAATTTTGTCCTGAAAAAATTTGCTCAAATTTCTTCCCTACTCTATAAAGTAAGGAGAGTAAATGAATGTATGGGCAACATCACTCTGGAAAGATGCTTGCAGCAGTCATGGCTCCTTCATCAGAAAAATAGGAAACCCAATGTGATAACAGTAGGTAGATAAAGGCACTTTCTGTCATGCCTGAAATGCCACTGTACTTGGTGTTTGTTACTGGGGTTTAGGCAACTTCACTTTAAAGGTGCTGACTTTAGCATATTCTGTAAGGAAATGGCTATGTTGCCTGTTTTACATGCCACATTCCTGCCAGTCCTGTGCACTGTGTAAAGATCCTGTGCCCCTAAACCAAGTTCTGGACTTCTTTCCCCAGGCTAGACTTCTAAAGCTAATCTCTAGTGCCGTATTTCTAGGTCCAAGCATTTTCTTTGTTTTAACATGGTCCCAAAAATTAAAGAATTGTTCTGATTTAAACTTTAAGTATTAATAAACACCATTAATAAACACTAAGTAACTCTTTTGTTCATTACACCACCACTGATTCAATCAGGCTGGAGACTGATTATTTAAAGATCTGATCTACATATCAGAAAAACAATAGGAATTTCAAACAGAGAATCAGTTAGTACTTCAGCCCACAGCTGACCTAGAATTTGCAGCTGCACAAGCAGCACATGGATGGTTAAGAAGAAGATGAATTTCATCAAATAACTTGACTGGCTGAACTAGAAATGCTTCATAGTATCAGATATGACTGATAGTAGCTAATTTTCACAGTGAAAAATATGTATTTGTTACAACATCAGCGGATAAGTAACTTAGAAGCCATCAGTTATTTATAAACAGCAAATAAAACGTCGGGCGGCGGCAGGGCCGGGCACTGGGCTCGGGGGGCAGCCCGGTGCCTCCCTGTTTCTGCTCGTCGTAGAGTAGCTGCAGCCTTGGAGGGACGCTGTCACGGCAGTAAGGTGCAAGAAGTTTGTATTGCAGGGGATGAAAGCTGCTGTAGCTCACTGACCAATTTCAATAGGCACGTCATGATAAAAGCAGCTCTTCTCTATCCTGGGATCTTGGTTTAATATTGCTTTTTCAGGTTAGCTAATACAGTGTGGTTGGTTTTTTTTTTCTATTCAGGGAAGTTTTTGTTTGGGGTTTTTTTAATGAAGAAAGGCTTATTCTTCACTTCTGGGATGCATAGCGTCTTGTCTGTCACATCTGAGTCATTGAGGTATTTTATCGTATCGTGCTGTATTTGGACTGATTTGCCAAGGCCTCAGCTTGGCTGAGATCTTTAGGGCAGAGATACTGTCCTCCATGTTTGATTAAATGCAGCACACGTCAACCGCTCAAGTGATCTTGTTTCTCTTGAAAGAGAGACCTCTGTGCTACAAATACACCTGTAAATTATAGTTGTGTATATATATACATATGTATAGCTATACCTATAACATAAAGAAAGTTTGGCCAGCATAATGAGATAGATCCACAGTGTGGCAGAAGAGTAAATGCCTTGATGAAGTGGAGTGTAAAGCAGAGTGGAATAAACAGGCCTGCCTACATATTGTTCAAATATTTCAGGATTCAGTCGTTCTGTAGAGAGTGGACTGCTTGGTGCTGGCTATTTTCTTTTTCACCTAGTTTGCTACAAGAAGCTAAAATAATTTATACATGATAAACATTTATTTCCTATTTACCAACCATACAAATTGTAGTAGTGATCAGAGAGGTGTGCAACTGCGAATTGAAGGGGCAGTTACCCATACGGCAGGGAGTGGGAGTCAGCTGAATACCAATGAGACTTAGGCTGTCAACACTACGGAGGGAATAAGATGTAATTAAGAAAGTATATGCCATTTAGATCAGCAAAATGCATGGTGTACTAAACCTCTCCAACACAAAGATTCACCTTTCATTGATGGCTCTATGTTGTATGTTCCTTCTCAAGAAAGTAAGCTTTCAAAAAAGCTAGCAAGCACCCAAGCTGAACAAGATCAGTATCTGGAACAATCTAAGAGGTAGGCTGACAGTTTTCATGCTCAGGGTTGTAAATGATGGTGAAATAGGGTTGGGAGAAACATTAGCTTTTCTTTAAAATTCTAATCAAGATACACAGAGAATAACATGGAACAACTGAGAATAACACAGATCCTCACAGTTCCCACTAAATACCTCCCTGGCAGCTTGATACTTCATTATTTATCATCATCCATTTTTTTTATAGTAACAGTTGACATTAGATTATTACTGACCTGGTATTTGAATTTATTCCATAGAGGTTAAAGACTTTGTAGTTTCATGTTCTTGGTCCTTTTTAAAATTCATAATTTCAGAGGGTGGAAAATATATTGTTCTATCAAGTTTATTTCTCTGACATTTGTTCAGTGGAAAGTGTGATCCTAATATTAAAGGCTTTTGGTTTGAAGCCCAGGATACAGATAATTCTTTTCACTGGTCTTCCCTAAAACATGTCATTTTATCACTGTGGTTCCCTTTGTTGGTGTCTAGGAAGTTAATATGTTGAATGGCATAATTATTTAAACCAGTATTTGTTTTTGAAGGATTTGTGGGTGATAATAGATGGCTCAACCCAGTTGTGTCAGAAGGTATTAAGATTTCCATCTGCTAATGTCATGGAGTTGGTCCTATATGGAGCCATAAATACTATTGTGTGAGAAGCAGTGACAGGGCTTTACTCCAGCTCATCTCTTTATCATATGTTATATTAAATTTAAACACAAATGTTGAATTCCTTTGTGTGAGTAAATGCTTTTTGATGTTTCCTTGTATTAAAGTTCTAATAGCCCTTTTAACCAGAGGGCTGCATAATAATTCATACTTGTTAGGTATGTTTCTCAAATAATCATAATTTCATTAATGTTGCCAGCAGAACTAATTGGGCTGTCACAGTGAGGTTCAGTACCCAGTTGGAGAATTATGGTGTGAGGCCAAGGGAATTAAGTGTATTCTGATGATGGAGCATCCTGATTTCAGTTGGGATAGAGTTAATTTTTCTCCTAGTAACTGGTGTAGTGTTGTGGTTTGGATTTATTATGAGAATAATGTTGATAACACACTGACCTTTTTAGTTGTTGCTAAGTAGTATTTATACTGAGTCAAGGACTTTTCAGCCAGCGAGAAGGCTGGGGACACAAGGCATTGGGAGGGGACACAGCCAGGACATCTGACCCAACTGGCCAAAGGGATATTCTATACCATTTGATGTCATGCCCAGTATATAAAGTAGGGGGGGAAAGCCAGCCGGGGACCACTGCTTGGGAACTGGCTGGGCATCAGTCAGTGGGTAGTGAGCAATTGCATTGTTACTGCATCTTTCATTGTTATTATTATCATCACCATTGTTACCATTTTCTTCCTTTTCTGTCCTATTAAACTGTCTTTATCTTAATTCACAAGTTGAGAGGTTTTTTTACGATTGTCTCCCCCATCCCACTGGGTAGGGGGATGGCTGTGTTGTGCTTAGTTGCCAGCTGGGGTTAAATCACAACATGGAGAAAGTTAATGTGACTCATTAATGAGATGCCCATAAGCATTATTCTATATAAAAGGGCAGGTAGTTTGAGGTTGTTTTTTTTAAAACTCCGGAAATATGAAGAACAAACATAAGAACTTATGAAATTTCAAAGCATTTGTTGTCAGTTTAAGATACAATAAAGGTTTTCTTTATCAGAACAGACATGGAAAGTACTGCCAAGTAGCACCTAGACACCATAAATCATTGATGAGAGTGGATAGTTTGAAAATATTACAAAGGAAATGCAGCATCCCAGGAAGGCATTGTTTAGAGCCTGCTGTATTTAAAATGTTTTTCAGTTTCCATTAATTCACATTTCTAATTAGGATCTTTACTTAAAGTTGCTAGAGACTGGCTGATGTCCGTGGAAGATCAGAAGTGTGCATACAAATTAAATGTTAAAAGTGTACACTGAGTTTCAGACAGAAGAAAATGTAGACCTGTACTTGTAGGTAGCTGTTGTTAACTATGCTTTGGTTGGTAGCAGGGAACCACAATATCTGCATTTTTCACTGGGCTTCATGGTGGAGAAAAGAGAGCTAAATGTCTTTTGTGAAAAAAAGAAAGTCTCTCTTACTTTCCTGTCCTTGGTCACAGTAGCATCTCTGTAGGCAGGCATACTTTCATCTTGGTCAGACCTGGTAACCACCCTGGGGAGGAATATCCAGTGAGTGAAGATCCTGGTTGTGAAGAGCATGAGAAGTGTCTTTTTATGCCAGGCTTTTGTACAACGTGTTTCTTCTGTGAGTTGCTGGAGAGTGTTGTATGCTCTCCCCAGCGTAACCCAAGGAAAGGTTGTCCTTAGGATGAGATGCAAAGCAGAAATTACCACTTGCAATTGTGAAGAAGCTACAGCTGCATTTCCAAGGTTTGGTATTAGCCAAAAGATGGTATTAGCCATTAGATTCCAGTTAGCATGACTATGCTCTACCTTCCTAATTTTGCTTTGCACTTTCAACTGGATAAATATTCTTACTCACTGTGTGTCCTGATGTGGTGATAAATAACAAACAGCTACCTTCCCATGTTTGGGTGCATTTCGATGCAAACTGCACCCAGATTGCAGATTTCCTTGCGAGTCCTTTCTCAGTAGCAAGAAATTGCAATAACCTGATGGGAGAACATCTGAAGATGCAATAACATTCCATTAGCCAGCATTATAAAATATCTACTCATAAATGTACGTATGTATATATTTCCATTTATATGGCAGCATCCAAACTCCTCACCAGAAACATAAAGGCCTGCTGGAGAGCAGACACAGCTGTGGGAAGTTCTCTGTCTGAAGAGCAGAGAGGAGGCTGACCAGGCATGTGACTAGTTTCTTACCGAGGAAGTAAACCTTGTAGTGGAGAAGTGTTACATCTCCTCTTGATTTCTCAAAGTGCTTCACCTGGAATTGTCTCTTTGCTGACCCCAAACCTAGGATTGGAGGGCATGGGACTGAATCTCTAAACCACATCTTTCACAGTCGTCTTGATCTTTTGTGTCTGAATAGATTCAGTGCTGCTTGCAACAGCAACTCGAGCATAAGAAAGTTCCAATGCGTGATCCTCTTGCTTTCAGAGGCATGCAAAGATACATTTTTAAATCTGGTCTGCATCCTTGTGTACACATTGGCAGCAGTTTGTTTTACTTTTTCCCCATGCAGAGTTATTGTAGGTGCCTTCAAGGAGATGCTTTAAATAGTTGGGTATTCAAGACCAGTGGTTTATCATTGTGTTTCTGAGAGATAATGCGTTCCCTTAGATGGACAGACTGGGTATTTTTCCTGAACATAACATAAAAAAAAAGCTCAGAAACCCATAGAGTAAACGTCTGAGCTTTTCTTCATTTTCTTCTCTCCTTTTATTATATTTTTGCATAATGATTTCCCCATGGACCTTTCTGGTG